TGCTTCTCAAACAGTATTTCACAGCCGCCTCCTTTCAGCCCGTCGAGAGAGGTGCCGTCTCGAGGAAACGGAGGCTTAGAGGGGGTCAGGCTGGTGAGTCACCGTGTCTGCAACCTTCAGGGGCTCACTCTTCGCCAGGCCTCTGCCCCACCAGCCTTGGTTCCTCTCTGACAGGCTCTCCCTTCAGTCAGGGCCCCCGAGAGAGAGAATCCTGCAGCGCCTGCCAGCCGGCTCTGCAGCTGCCTGCAGGCCCCGACAGGTCCGGCTGCCTCCTCGGTGACGGAGGATGAAGCAGAGAAGAATCAGGTTTCTCCAGCTCCTGGATGGAACTGAGGTTACTGAGTCATGCCTTTTCTCAGGCCTTGCCCTGAACTGAGCCTCCAGCCCAGGCATGGACGAGGCCCAGGACTGGGCACCCTGAGCCCCACCCTTTGCTTGTCTGACCTCTCTCCTGCTGCTCTGTCTCTTTCGGCCCCCGCCATGCCTGTGTCCCTGCCACACCCTGCCGAGCCCCACCAGCATGCTCCTGCCTCAGGGCCTTTGCACTGGTTCCTTTTACCTAGACATACTGCACACTTGCTCCCCAATAGCCTCCAGTCTTTGCTTAAATGACACCTTCTCAACAGGCCTTCCCTGATTACTGGAACTGAGCCCCCAAGCCCAGCCCCTTACAGTAGGTCCTCGGGTTACGTGGGAGGTCTGTTCCTACCGCAATTTTTGCCGTAAGTCGGAACCCACCTACAAAAGCACCTACGTCTTTCACATGGACCACATACACAGCATTAATGAAGTGAAACAGTAAAAAAAAGTTAAAGGAAAGATAACAATTCCTGACCTTTATTGTGGTAAATAAATAATAAAAAACATAAAAGCACGTATGTACGTACATTGAAATGACGAAACTTTTTTTAAAATTATAAATAAATGGGAGATGGAGAGGGGTAACCACGAAACAACGTACATCGAGTCCGAAGTAACCTGAGGACTGTCTGTACTTTCTATGCCCCTTGCCAACTTCATCTTCCTTCTTTTTTAAAAAATACATTTTTATTGATTTCGGAGAGGGAGGAAGGGAGAAGAGGAGAGAGATAGAAACACCAATGATGAGAATCATTGATTGGCTGCCTCCTCCATGTCCCCTGCTGGGGATTGAGCCCACAACCCAGGCATGTGCTCTGACCGGAATTGAACTGCAACCTCCTGGTTCATGGGTCAACGCTCAACCACTGAGCTGGGCTGGAGTCTTATTCTCAACTAGAGGCCCTGTGCACCACATTCATGCACTGAGGGGGAGGGGGGCGGGGGGGATACATGGTCCCTCAGCCCAGGCTGCACCCTTTTTCGCAGTTCAGGAGCCCTCGGGGGATGTCCGACTGATGGCTTAGTGGACTGTGGGGAGCGGTCATCCTGCCACTGCAGCTGCACTCGCCAGCTATCAGCCCAGCTTCAGACTGAGTGGTGCTATCCTCTTCCCCTCACACCGTGGGAGCACACTGACCACCAGGGGGCAGCTCCTGCATTGGGCGGCTGGCCCCTGGTGGTCAGTGCACGTCATAGCGACCAGTCATCTGCCATTTGATTTGCCTATTACCCTTTTATTATATAGGATAGTAAAACGAGCCCATACTTGAAATTAAAGGAACCTGAACCCCCAAACTGTCAATTCCTGGCTACGTATGGTCGTTAATTTCTCTGACCCTAAATTTCTATTTAAAAAGCGAACCATAGACGCTCTCTCCCCAAGGCTGTGAGTGGGAGAGTGTGTGTAACTGACTCCAGGCATGTGAAGGGCACCGCCTATAATTGAGCGCTGCTGCTGCCACCACCATCGTCACCAGTGTCCAAGGCAGTTCCTGGCACACAGCTGACTCCTGGACCTGGGGTGTGGCAGCCACTGTGACTGCTTTGCCCTGGGGCTCCTTCCCTTCCAGCAGACCTCTCCCTTCCTTGCCAAGGTGGGAGGCTCACCAGCCACCCTGTGGTTCAGGTGGATGGTGCCCTCTGCTGGGCGTGAGGGGAAGGGCCTGCAGGGAATGTCTGGCTTAGGGTGGGAAGGGCGGTCTCCACCCAAAGTGTGAGTGTGGAGGTAAAGGAGCTTACTGGCCACCAGTCCCTCAACCACAGTAGTGATAGCTACAACACTTACGCAGCGCTTGTATGCCAGGCACCTTCTAAGCACTTTACGGATATGAACTCCTTTTCCCCCTCCATTTTCCAGATGAGAAAAGTGAGGCACAGAAAGGTACAGTGATTTGTCTAAGAAGTTGTCCTGCCTGGAAGTGCGGGGATTCGAACTGTGCCCTGAATCACGCCTCCTTGGTGGATTGTTTCAGTGGGAGGTAGGCTCTGCCTTCAGCCCAAAGGAGCTGGCCCCCTGGAGTTCCATTGAGTCTGGAACTGGACATACAGGGTGTGGGGCTGTCAAAGGGGCTTCCCAGGGTGACTGACCTCTTTGGTACCAAAAAAAAAAAAGGGCTGTTAGGTCAGCCAGAAGGGAAAAGGCATGGTGAGAAGTGAGGCCTGGGCTCGGCCCACCTCTGCCCTGCTAGAGGGGTCTTGGGGAGTGCCTACTTTTGGCACCTCTATCTTTCGCCACCTGAAAAATGACAGGGGTAGCCTGGAGGCAGTTTTCAAAATGCTCTGAATTGGGGGGCTCTTAAGGAGCAATACTGAGAGGATGAGGCTAAGGAGTGGGTCTCTGGGCACCCCAACTCCTTCTTCCAACGAAGTCACTTTATCTTTTTTTGTTGAACTTGGGTTAAAAGTCTGTGGGATGGAAATGGAGGTGGAGGGGGGGATCATTGAATAGAATGAGCCTGAGGGGCCCTTTCAGCACCACGCCATCAGCCCAGACTGAACCCTCCATTCAGAATCAGGCAGCCTTGATCCCAACCAGGACCACGGTCTCTCCCACCCCCAAACCTCCCTGGTTGGTGGAAGACTAGTTTTGAAGCATCTGCAGAGATGGATGCTGCAGGGAGTTTAACAGCGTTAAAGGCAAAAAATAGAATCAGTAATGTCCATGGATGGTGGCGAGATTAAGTAAATGCTAACGTATCTAAACTGGATGCATTAGAGACCATAAGGCAGCCTGCTTGTATGTCCTGTTAGGAGAAGACAGATTGCAAAATGCCTATGTAAGGCATAGGGAGAAAGGTTGGAAGGACGCACACCCAACTGGTGAACCACAAAAATGTGAATAATGAATACTCAAGGGATAGAAAATCAAACATTCAGGTGGCCACTGGTAGATGGTCGCCCTGGTTCCAGCTGGCACCCACTCTGAGTGGTTAGCACTGGGTGACTTACGTTGACTTATTACAGGCCCCAAAGACGAGTCCTAAGATCCTGTTTTGCAGATAAGAAGCAGGCCCGGGGTGAGAGTGACCTCAGGGCCATTCCCATCGCAGAGCCCAGGCGTAGTCCTTCCAAGTCACCGAGGCTGGTGACTGGTTCCACCACTTGGGGAATCCAGATCCACCCAGAGCCCAGGCGTGGCTAGGAAAGGCCGCTTTTCCTCCTCGACCCCCTCCATCCATCTCAGGGGAAGGCAGGCCAGCCCAAACAGTGGCTGTTTGGTTTTATGATTAGTCTCCACTAAAGATAGGGTTTCAGGCTTTATTCAAGCTTCCCTGAGAGGAGGTTAAGATAAGGGGCAGCAGGTGTTTGCTGGCTGAGATACCTAATCCTCCCAAAACACCTTATCAGCCAAAGCAGCAGGGCCCTGGTGGAGGGGAATCTGAGGCCGTAGGAGCCAGAGGCAGCAGCAGCTCAGGGGAGAGACAGGAAGCGGCCTTGACTGTGGGCTACGGTGCTAAGGACCAAGGGCGGGTGAGGTTTCTTACCTTATTTCTCTTTTCACTTCCCCATCCAGGGCCTGGGTCTGAGGCCTCCGGACACCCTCAGCCGCGTCCTTCGGAGCCTTCATCATAACCTTGCGCCTGCATCAGAACCACCTGGAAGGCTTGTTAAAGCAGCCACCAGGGTCCTGCCTGCAGTTTGATTCTGCAGGTGACGCGGCTGCTGGTGGCCCAGGGACTGCACTTTCGAGGACCTGCTGTCCAGAGGGTCACTCTTGTGGGAAGGAAACGTTTATTTCAACGTCAGCCATCTTTTCAGCTTCACTTCAGATTCTGTTCTGTCGGTTCATTGCAAAGAAAACATGGAAATTTTTCTTGAACAAAGGCCCACGTGCATGGTTCTCTGCCTGCTGCCTCTTCGGCCCTATCCCTGCATCCGTGGCTGGGTGCTGTCTGGAGTGTTCCATTTCGCTGACATGCGGAGTAAACTCTCTTTCTGCCTGGCTTGATTTTGATGATCATCGGGCGTCATTTAAAAGAAATACAGTAAGGCTCGTCTCCAAAAGGAGGGAAATCCCCTCGGAGGGAGATTGCAAGGATGGGTTTAAAGGAAACCATTGAAGTTAACTGCTGTCCAGGCCTAATAAGGGACTAACTGGTAGTCGTTACCAATGAACACAAATAGCACCTTGTGCCACACACGAATTCACTTACCCTCCACAGGACCACCTTGTTTTATGCATGAAACCTCTGAGGCAGGTAGAGGTTAAGAGATGCTGGGAAGTAGCACAGATGCCCCCAACCCCAACCCCAACCCGTCTCTCAACACAGCCCGTGGCAGAGGAAATCACGCGGTACATACGCCCCATAAGAAATGACGTCCCGGGCAGCCCTGGTGGGGCTCAGCTCAGGGGTCAGGAGGTTAACTGGTTCTCTCACAGACGGGAGACTGAATCCACAGGGAGGAGAGCAGCTTCGTCCCCACCTGGGCCTGTAAAGGGATCCTGAGTTTCCTCTACCGAGTGGGGAAGCTGTGGTGAAGCCGGGGGGCCGGGGGGTGGGAGGGTTAAGAGTGCTCACTTCCCTCCCACAACTCTGAAAAGTCTAACAACCATTGAATTTTACACTTCAGTGGGTGAATGGTATGGTATGTGAATGTGAATCAATAAAACTACTTAAAAAAGGAGTTCACTCCCCTGACACCTCTGGGAAAGTTCCTTTAATAAAAAAGTTCTAGTACATTTACCCGATTGTCATCACCCTTCGTCTACAGCACTCCACGGGGAAAATAAAAATAAAGGACAACCTAGACACGCTCAGTATAAAAACGCAGCAATCCGTTCAGATTAGGAGGCCTCGGGCCTGGAGAGCAAAGAGAAATGTGTGAGGCCGAGAGCCCAGCAGCTCTGGGCTGGGCTCTGAAGGCTCCAGGGGACCCCTGAGGACCCGCCTCTAACTTTTTGAAAATAGCATTAAAAAAAAAAAAAAAATCCGGGCTGTTAAAAGCGGCCTCTTCCTAAGGGGAAAGGTCCATTCCAGAGAGAACAGTATCTCGGGGCGTCAGGACACAGGGCTGAGCATTTCATGGCAGGGAAGAGACTCCCGGAAATTCCGCCTCCGGGGCACCCAGCCCGAGGCTGCGAGGTTTCAGTGCTGAAGTCCAACGGCCCGGCCCGTGTTTGAAGGGCTGAGACCCAACTCATTTGCTGTCAGACTCGAGGCCTCTTCCCTCCAAGTTGCTAAGGCCACTTCTCAACAGCTCAGAGTCCTGGGCTGAGGGGGGACCGAGCCCCTTTGCAGATGCAGCTGAGCCTGACGTGCAGCCCTGGGCCCTGCTGGCCCGGAGGCCTAGTCGTCCTGGCCAGCCCCGTACATGTCCGCCAGCTTCTTGAAGCGGCTGCCCCATTCGTTCAGGTAGTCATAGTCTTGGTCCTGGTCAGAGGCCGAGGAGGTGAGGGAGCTCAGCGAGGGGGCCTCAGAGCCGCAGCCCTCGTAGTCGAACACCAACAGGGAGTCATAGGGCGGGGCTGTGGGGTCCGTGTTGGCCGCCTTCAGGTTCTGCAGCGACAGAGAGCAGGTGGTTAGGAGCCGCAGGATCCCACACTTGGCAGCTGCGAGGACTCAGACAAGTTGGGTCACTGGGCTGAGCCTGCACTTCCTCACTTGCGAAGCCACTTCTCCCCTCCCGTGAGGTTTTGAAGGTTGACATGAAATCATGCAATGAGCTCAGCACAGGGCCCGGCATACAGCAAGTGCTCAGCGCGACAGGCCCGCACGGTGAAGGGCCGGGACCCCGACATCAGAGGGCTTAAGCCAGAACTCAGACTTCACACTATCATGTGATGTAGGGCAAGTCCTTTAACCTCTCTATGCTGCTTTTCTCCCATCTTTGAGATGGGGAGACTTCACATAGTTTTAGAGGAATAAATGAATATATGTAAAGTGCTTACAGAATAGTACCTGGCATAATAGCGGAACGCTATTTTCTTATTTGTAAAACGAGGATGATGATGGGATTCCTACCCTACAGAGTTGCCATAGGGGTTGAATGAGACACTATTTGCAAACTGTCCAATACACAGAGACATTCCAGAAACTGACTTCATCTAAGGAAAAAGCTGCAGATATTTAGCTCCAAGGTGTCTTCTCAAACCCACCACTCCAGGTACCTTCCCCAGATGCTGTTGTTTTAGCACGGCCCTCAAATGCGCTCAGGCTACTTCCAGAAAGCAAGAAGTGTAGCTGGCTTTTAGGCAGAAGAGCAGACTGAGCCAGAAGGGTCAAAAGCCAGGGTGAGGTGTCCTGACTGCCCCTGAGCCCTTCGCCCACTGCTACTTCCTTGCACTTCCCAATCCGTGCACCCACCCACCCATCCATCCACCCACCCTTCCTATTAAAAACCTCCATTTACTGATTGTTACTGAGGCACCAGGCTCATATCATCTACTTCCTATGTACCTAGTTCAGTGGTTCTTACAACCCTGGGAGCCAAAAATATCAGAGCCCATAAAAACAGATGCCCGTGTCCCTGGCATTGATATTTTTCAAGATTCTTCAAATGTGTGACTGGAGTTAAGAACACTGGAGGCACTCAGCTACTAGCCACAATCGCTAGCATTACCTAACACAACGGTCGGCCAACTGCGGTTCATGAGCCACATGCGGCTCTCTGGCGCCTTGAGTGTGGCTCTTCCACAAAATACCGACTTCTGCGCATGGGTCACGAAGTTTCAATCGCACTGTGGTATTTTGTGGAAGAGCCACACTCAAGGGGCCACGGAGACGCATGTGGCTCGCCAGCTGCAGTTTGCCGACCACTGACCTAACACATGGGAGGTGCCGGTCAGTGGTTCCCAAACTTAAATTACCTGGGAGTCTTTAAAACATTCCAATGCCCAGGTATGATCCAGGGCAATTAAATTACAATCTTGGGTGTAGGGGGGTGGGGTGAGTCCAAGGCATCAGTTTTTGACGTCCCCAGGAGATTGCAATGGGAGGGCAGCTTGGGAGCCACCGTGCTAGCCCTGTTCCAGGTGCTTATGCATCCAATCCTTAAAGCGACCTGTAACACAGGTCCCAACCGACTCCACACCAGGACCACCTGGCACTTTCAGAAATCCAAACCCAGGTTCTCTGGCTCCAGTTTTTTCCTAACAACCACTATACAGGGTGGGGCAAAAGTAGGTTTACCGTTGTTCATATGGAAAATAATACAATAACTAATAAATACGAATAAACTGTTTTGTGTACTCAAAACCGCACACCCACTTCTGCCCCACCCTGTATTTGTTGAATAAATGAGTAAATGATTCCTAATCCATTCTTTACCACTCTGCAAGCTAGGGTTTCACAAAGCAGGGGACAGAAGTACAGACGTTACTCAAAGGTACCAGAGGTCACACGACTGGTTGGTGGTGAAATCAGGATTTGAACCAAGAGCCAAGACTCTGGCCCATGCTCTTTCCCCTGTGCCACTGGAGCCTGAGTACAGGGCTGCCCTAGGCCGGCCCCCATGCTCACCTCGGTGATGAAGTTGCCGAACATGGTCAGTTGGCTGACTTGACCACCCCTGCCAGTGGCCCCACACCCCAGGTCTCCCAATGCCCTACCTGGTCCTCCTCGCCACCCCCCTCTTCGCCATAGTAGAAGACGTTGTCACGGGTGTCGTCTTCTGGGAGCAGAAGGGGTTCCTTGACCTTCTGCTTCTTTCTCACCAGCAAGAGGAGCAGTACCAGGAGGACTGAAAGGGTGGGGAAGTGTGAATATTTACCGTCCTCCACAACCACACAGGACCCCCAGACTCTCAGAGCCCCATCTGGTTTTAGATCCCTCCACGCAGTAGCCAGAGCGTAACACACTCCAATCACTCCCTTGCACCTAGGAACACCTGTAACTCATCGAGGTGTACAGGATCTGGCCTGGCCTGCTCCCATCCCTCCCTCTCCCCCACCCAGGTCTAGTCACAATGGCCTCCTCGGAGCTCCTTAAATATACCCAGCGGGTCCCCCACTTCAGAAAAGCTCCGGGCCTTTCCCTTGCCTGGAACACTCTCTATACACATGCATGGCTCTCACCCTTCATGTCTCAGCTCAATGTCGCCTCCTCCTGGCAGCACTGTGACTTCATCCCCATCTACAATTCTGCATCATTTATTGTCAGTCTTCCCTTATTAACGGTACTGGTCTTAGGGGAATTCTCCTTTGTAGGAATGGGACTCTTCTAGCTGATGTTCCTTTTCTACTGACTGAATGACACTCCTGGAATTCGGAGTTTAAGGAAGAGATGGGCAATGCTGGTGGCCCTTGGTCCCAGAAGTTCAGTGTAGAATCAGGTTTTCTAACTACCCCATCCTTCGAGGGGGGAGGGCACTGGTACTCACACAGCAGAGCCAGGACGGCCCCCAGGATGGGGAGCAAGAGGAAGCCCCCCTTCCAGGGTATGGGGCAGGTCTCCACGTGGCCGTGGCAGTCGCACACGGTGGCCTTGATCACTGCCAGCTGTTGCTTGTTGCCACGGTCAGACAGAGAAAGGTGCACATCGTATGTGTCTTGCTTTAGGAACTTCTTCAGCGACAAGGCCACTGTGTCTCCTGGAGGGGACAGATAATTTATTCACCTCGGGAAACCATAAATGGAACAGAGCGTATCACAGTGGAGGTTTGAGGCAACAGCCTCTATACCTGGGTGACAAAGGAAAGTATACGAAAAGCACACTTTGATCAAGTGTTAAAAATTAGTATTTGGCCCTGGCCAGCAGAGCTCAGCTAGGTGTCATCCCGTGTACCAAAAGGTTGCTGGTTCAGTTCCTGGTCAAGTCACATGCCTGGGCTGTGGGCTCCATCTCCCATGGGAGGTGTGCAGGAGGCAGCCAGTCAATATTTCGGATGTTCACTCTCGTATGGAAGTTTCTCTCTCTCTCTCTCTCTCTTTCTCTCTGAAAATCAATAAAATATCTTTAAAAATTTTTTTTATATATGGCCGAAGCCAAATTCACCATCATGGTAAGGATTATTGGGGCAGAAAAAAAAAACTTACATTAAAAAACACACAAACCTTGGTACTAAAATATTTTATGGGGTAAAAGAATTGGAGAACCTTTGATTAGTACCTAGTCAGAAGTCACTTTCAACAAAAGGTAGCCTGGATTGTCACCCACTGGCTCTAGGTGAGCCTCTATAGCAGTGATGGCGAACCTTTTGTGAGCTCGGCGTCAGCATTTTGAAAAACCCTAACTTAACTCTGGTGCCGTGTCACATATAGAAATTTTTTGATATTTGCAACCATAGTAAAACAAAGACTTATATTTTTAATATTTATTTTATATATTTATATATGATTTAACAAAGAAAAATCAACCAAAAAAATGAGTTTGCGTGTCCCCTCTGACACACGTGTCATAGGTTCACCATCACTAGTCTAGGAGCACGAAGCAGGCCCTCACCAGCCAGTAC